TGTTGTATACAGGTAGATTTGTTGCCTTTGCTGCCTGAATGCAAATGTGATACTAGTTCTTTTTGAGCACATGGTTTCTCAATGACTTCCTTAAGCCTTAATGATTGTGTTTAGGCCAGAATTAATTTAGCATTTTCATTACTGTCACATAAGATTTACAGCTGGGTTTGTAGAAGGTTTTGCTCTTATCTCCATAACACAATGGAAGATTCATATTTCTAGCGCCTATATGGAAAAAAAAAATCTACTATGAAAGAAAAAGAAAAAAAGGGTTATTTGAAAGACGGCATCATTCAACTTTAAAAGGAAAAAATTAAACTTTTGCTAACACAAGAGCATCAAATATATCACTATCTGAAATAAAGTGAAGTTGTTCTTAATTTTGTAATTAGAAAAATACAAACACTTTTATTTTAGTACCACTACTTAAGAAACTCATGGTAGATAATTTAACAAAGTGAGGGGGAAAAAAATTATTCTGAACAGAAAATGGACTTTCTGTGCTTTCTGTGTAGGGAAAAAAAATGCAAATAATTTCCTTTTATTTAGGGTGATAAAGAGTTAAAATCCTGTTCACAAAACAAATCCAGAGAGAACTTTGGTTGTGGAAAAAGCAGTGGGAGTCCTTTTTCTTTTTAAGCAATGAGGAATAGATAGGGTGGGGTTTTTTTTAACTTGGTGGTTGTATACCCACCAATAGAATACACACAAACCCATAAATATAAGCCAAATAATTACAAACACAAAAAAAGATTAAAAGAGTTTTGTGTGTTTCAGTACATAATGGAGTAATAGTTGTGTTTTCTAAAAGGGAAATGTAGGGCTTTCATAGTGGAGAACATGCTGATTACTGTATTGTGAGTGGCTGGCTTTTGATTTTCCAGGATGGATTAATTCTCGGAAGACAACAGCTTCCCTGTCCTCCCCCAGTGGAGTCCTGGTCTCCAATAGACTTGTTTTATATGCTTGGGGATTAATACAGCACAGCAATCAGTCATAAAAAGCAAGCTTTAGTGAGTTTGTAAAGGGGCAGAACAGGCAAATCCAGTCTTGTGACCATCTTACTGCTTTCAAGTGCTTTCAAACAATAGTGATCAGATTTTTTTTTTTTTTTAAGGTCCATTTGTTATTAAAAGAGAATGGGGAGTTGGTTTTTTTCATAGTAAGTGGAGAGATTCTGGAAGTGCTTTCTGGAAAATAGTGAGAGATAACCTAAAATATTTGCAAAGCTCTGTTTATGCTTCTAATAATTTAAGTGATTTTTGCCTAAAGTGCTTGTAAAATATGTTTTAAAATATAGCCCAAAAAAAGGAAAAAAAGTCACAGACAGCTTATGCCATTGTCAACCTTAATTTAACAGTTTGTGTTTTGTGGTTGGTGCGAATGTTTATGTAGTGAGAATCAAAAAAAAATCCACTTCATTGGCAGATGAGAAAGTATTAAAAATGTGAGGCTCTACCCAAAATTACCCTCAGTTTTTGTTCTAAGCCTGAGCTGTGTCGTTGGGCTGTATTGACTTAGAAATCCCTGTCTTCTTAGTGTAGTCTACTTTGTATTAAATGGGGGGGGGGGATTTATGAAGCACTGCAGAAGCATTTTAGTGAGACATTGTTCCCTGTGAGGCTGGTGATGCCCTGGCACAGGGTGCCCAGAGCAGCTGTGGCTGCCCCATCCCTGGCACTGCCCAGGGCTGGGTTGGATGGGGGTCAGGGCAGCCTGGGATAGTGGAAGCTGTCCCTGCCCATGGCAGGGGGGACTTGGAACTGGGTGATCTTTAAGGTCCCTTGCAATGGAAACCATTCTGGGATTCTGTGATTGCCTGGACTTCCCACTCCCTTCTCCAAACCCCTCGGTCCCCCTTAGGCTGTGTGCTCCGCCGGCTCCCTGCGGTGCTGTCCATGGTCCTGACGAGCTGCCCTGCTCTGCCCACAGCCTTTCCATCTCCAGAGCCGGTTCCAGTCTCCTGCAGCTTGGCCAAGGCATAACCATTTCACTGGGAGGCTTTCATGCTGCTCTAGGCTCTATAGGTTTCTCAAAGGGAACTTTCTCTTCCAGTAGCTTCTGATAACATCCAGCAATTTATGAGGATGAGAAACTGGCAACGAGTTTTGAACAGGTCTTTAGTGTCCCTAAAACAACTTTTTTTTGGGAAGCTTTATCTATTCTCAAGATAAACGAGGGTAGTGAATTTTCCTGTTGCATAATCCAGTCTGAACTTGCCACATTGTAGGCTCTGGAAAACCTTATACACTGGAAGTAGAGACATAGGGGCTGAGCTATGAAATTTACTGAATTGATGTTCAGTCATGGATCCAGTGTCTGTACAGGACATTTCCCACAGCTGTTGCCCCTCACTAGGGTGGTGCTGTCAAAAGAAGGCAATAACTGAGAGACTATCTGCATTTCTTTCAGACCTGCCTGGTGGTGTCCATCTAACACGGAATTAGGAACTAGACTGGAGAAGGCAGAAGCAAATAAAAGTGGATTGTGGGGTGAGAGAGGGAGGAGTTCAGCTCCCAGGGAGATGGAAAACATGTTGTCAGTCAAATGAGAGAGTATTGTTAGTTTGCATCTTCCCTCCTGCTGTCTGGACACTTGCAGAAATTTGCTGTCCCAAAAGTATCTCTAGGAAGAGCCTCCACTCTCCAGACTAAGATAAAAGAGTTGTCTTCTTTCACCCCAAATTTAATTTGGATAGAATTGGCATTGCATTGCTATTAATTGCCTTATAGAATTATGACATTATTAAGGTTGGAAAAGAGCTCCAAGATTATCAAGGATATTCTGGAGTTTTGCTCGGCATTTTCTGTAACCTTACAGCTTCCTCTTAAAGTAGTATATAATTCAGAGAACACCTAAATAGTTAAAATATTTAAATAGTAAAGAGAAAATATACAAAAAAAAAAAATCAGAGAATTCTAGTTTTGCATGGATTTTCATGGGAAAGAAAACACTGGAGGTGAATACCAAGGGAAGCCCAGAGCATTTAAAATTAGCCTCTTGGTTTTTTGCTGCATAGCATCTCATCTCATCTCATCTCAGTTCAAAAGTGGAGCTGATGCCGCACTGGTGATGACGTGGAGATGTCACAGAAGTTCCTGAGCAAGACACGCTGTAAGTTTCACTTGTTTTTGTTTAAATGTAAGATGGCTTCCATAACATATTTAGGCTAAACTTTGAAGTTTCCTTTCATCTTTGAGTACAAGTAAATATTAATGTAGAAACATAATTGCACAGAAGGGATTTGTGTTCAATTTTTTTCATTTTGTCATTCAGGAAGTATTTCAACCTGTTTGTCCACTTGCAGAATTGTTACACAATGCCCTTAGTTCTGTAATAATTCAAGAGTTCTGAAAATTTTCATGCTTTAGCATACATTCATAGTCAATATTTGCTATAAGACAAACAGTCCAGTTGGTTATGTGGTTTTTTTGGGGTTGTTCTTAAAACACTTTCTTCTCCTGGAGTTTTGAAAATGTGACCAAAGGAAGCACAAAAGCTGTGTTGCCTAAGGGAAAGAGTCTTGATAAAGCTATGAAGTGGTAGTGCATTAGTCACTGAGAGATACCTCACATTGGTAGTGTTAACTCTAGAACATAAGCAGAACAAATGTTGATCACTCTTCTGCTGCAGACCTTGTTTTCAGAAATACATGTTTATGTAGTATTCATAGCACACTAATAAGAAAAAAAAAATATGATAAATTAAATAATCCATACCAAGTTGTCAGTCTGGGTGAAGAGGGAATTTTCAGCTGTTGTGCTGGGCAATTTTAGTTTGGAAATTGTGTTTACTGGAAGTTATTATAATCATAGAATGGCTTGGACTGGAAAAGATCTCTTAAGAGTATTGAGTCCAGCCATTCCCCCAGCCAAGTCCACCACTAACCCATGTCTGCAAGTGCCACATCCACATGGCTGTAAAACCCCTCCAGGGATGGTGTAGTGAACAAGTAAAAAGTAAGGAATGTTTCTCCAGTGCCTCTCTGAATATTGTTTTGAAAGCTAGTTTTGAACTGCCTCTAACAAAAATTTTAGCAACGGCTTTGTTTTAGAAAATAAGGCACCCTATTGGAATGCCATTAAAATCAGGCAAATGAGCAGTAAAGTTTTGATACATGAGAAAAGCAAGTAATAAACTTTTTCTTGCATCAAGGGAACTTTGCCTGGATGCCAGTGAGCAGCCAAAGAACTCCAAGGGAGCAAAGATGAAGTTCTGCACAGACATGCTGTTGCTCTAAGGTAGATACGACATGGCCACTCTATGAGTAAGTGCCCAACCTGCCGCATGTTGCAAACCCTACAAAATGTCAGAGTCTTTGCTGTTATTTGTGTGTGCTGTTATTTGCTGTCCTGGCTGCTCCTGTGAGGCTGCTTGTGCCCCACCCTGCTGGTCCTGCTGCTGTGGCTCTGCTCTGCTGCTGACTTGCTGCAGGGACTTCACTGGGCATGGTTTTCCCCATTGCACTCTATGAGCCAAGACTGGACTCGTAGAGGTGGTAACCACTTTCCTGTGCTTCTTCTAATTGTTCTTGGCATTTTCCTACTTTTCTATTTTATCTCTTTCTTTCCTGCTTTATGAAAACAAAATGAAGCTGAATGATTGCTTTGGATTCCAACATTTAAGCTCATTTGGGTTTTAATCTTGTTCTTCACTATGCTGAGAACCTAATTCCTTTCTGCAATTTTAAGACTGAGGAAAAACTCACCTGTCCTCACTTTTAGCTGATCAGAACAGATGGGGATTCCACCACTGCCCTGAGCAGCCTGTGCCAGGGCTGGATGGCCCTTTCCAGGAGGAGTTTTCCTAAATAGCCACCCTAAACCTCCCTGGCACGTCTTGAGGTCATTTCCCCATGTCCTGTCTCCTGTTATTCAGGAGAACAGACAATCCCAATCTGGCTGCACCCTCCTGTCAGGAGCTGTGCAGAGCCAGAAGGTCCCTCCTGAGGCTCCTTTTCTGCAGGCTGAGCCCCTCCTGGTGCTCCAGCCCCTTCCCCAGCTCCCTTCTCTCATCACACTGAAGCCCCTCAATGTCTTTCTTGCAGTGAGGGGCCCAGAACAGGCTCCCAGATTCAGGGTGCCTCAGCAGGGCCAACACAGTGAGCTGTTGAATAGCTGCTTATAAAAGCATTTGGCTTTCATGATAAATCCTATGTATATTGCTTCTTTTAAATGCATTTAAACAACTTTGACTAAGAATCAGTTTAACACTGGGAATTTGCATGTTCTGTGTTGGCAGTTTTCTCACAGAACAGGTCATGGAAGTAGTGTACTTGGGCTTTTTTGAGCGGGGGCGTTGGGGAAGAATAGCCAGTTTGCTGCTTCAGATCACCTCTGTATTAATTGTGGAGGAAGTTATCTACATTTGCTACAGAGCTATTGAGCTGTTAATGTTAAATATAAGAATTAAAGTGGAGAAAGGGAAGAGAATGCTGGAAGAACATATAAGATGGGCTGAGTGAAAAAGATAATCCCTAGAAAAACAGATCTAAACAGTCTGAGAATCATAGAATGGTTTGTGTTGGAAGGGACCTTAAAGCTTATCTCATTCCATGCCCATGCCATAGGCAGGGACATCTTCCACTAGACCGGATTGCTCCAAGCCCTTTCCAGCCTGTCCTTGGGCACTTCCAGGGATGGGGCAGCCACAGCTGCTCTGGACAACCTGTGCCAGGGCCTCAGCACCCTCACAGGGAAGAGTTTCCTCCTAATATCTAATCTAAGCCTACTCTCGGTTTGAAGCCGTTACCCCTTGTCCTGTCACACCATGTTCTTGTAAATAGTCTCTTTCCATGCAAGTCCAAGGTGACAGTGTCTTAAAAAAAGTTGAAGGAAGTCTTGCAGGTCAAGGCACTGTGGCAGGGGAGAAGTAGGTTTTTACTTCAGCAGTGATTTTAAAAGAGAAAAAAAGCAAATTCTGAAATTGTTGATACACCGTTTACAAAACCACATTTTCGCAGACATGGGATGTAGAGTGGCTGATATTTCTTTTCCTTGCCCCCTTTATTCTGTACCATCCATTTATTTTCTTATGAGCATCACAGGCTGTGCCTACTTTTGATTAGAAGTGAGGCTTATTTGCATACAAAAGGGGGGGAAAAGGCAGTGTTACATGTGCAATAAATGGGAAAACATTGATAAGGAAATAATGGATGAAAATGCCCAGTTATTTTCTGAGGGTAAAAAGCATCCTTAGTTACTCCTTTGAGGAGCCTCACCCTTAACATTAAGTCTTCTAAACTGGGCCAATAGGCTTGAGCACATCATTTCTGCCCTTCACCAAGGGTGAGGTGCATAACACTGCAACAAATCACCAAGGGATCTTACTAATAGTGTCACTAAAATTACAGCACATCTCTTGTCACTGTAAATATTTGTGTCTCCTCTCTCTTGTTGGCTTCACTCTCTCTTCATTGTCCTGTAAACTCTTCCTTAGTGGAATTATTTATTACTACATTTAGACAGACCTTGGCACCTCCTATCAACTGCTCTCTAGGCCAACATTAAATTTTGTTTTAGAAGCAGGTTTCTTAGCCACATATTTTATAAAGTGGTGCAATTCCAGTCTTTGCCCCAAGCCCATATTTGATGATACCAATATGTGTCTGGAAGAGTTTCCTCCTCAGTTCTGTGTATTTCTCATTGCCAGGGCTTTTTTCTAAATTGCAGCCATCTGTTGTGAGTCTGCACTCCATGGGTTAAAGTTTATTTTTATATTAAGACAAGCTTTCATTATGTTTTCCCTCTTTCCCCCTTTCTCCCCCCACAGTCTGGAACTTTAGGCTTTCTAGTTAAGCTTTTATGGTGGCCACAAACAGGTGCGTGCTTTACAGAGGGTCTCATTCTGCAGCTCCCACTGGCATCCCTGGCCTCCTGAACTCCCTTTTGCTACCTCCTTCCCCCTCAATAATTTTTTATGAATGACAGCTTTTCAGCACCCTGGGAACAGCTTGTTGGGAAGAACACTCTTTGTGGGGTGCAGCCAAATCCTACACATTTCTCCGAGGGTTTTCTGTGAAAGGGCTGGTTCTGCATTGCAGGTATGACGTACGTGTGGACTCCCCCTCCCTGCTGGCTCCCCCACCTCCTGCCTCTGATTCACTGGGATAAATCTGCTTTTTAATAATGCTGGTAGACTCTCGCCACAGGTGCTTCTCAATTAAAATCCACTTTGTTTAAAAACTGAAGGCTTGTTTAACTGATCCCCTGGGGAGAGTTGTCAGATCCCAGGGTAGGTGACACAAATAGATTGGTGACCCTCTGGAGCTGCATTGAAAATACCATATCCTGGGGTACCAGAGGGCAGCGTCACTCTGAAAACAAATCCGCACGTTTGAGAAACCCTGGGTGGAATCCCTGGGACTTGTCATTTCAGTGTGAGGCCTTTTTAATCCATCTTTTAACGTTTGGTTTTGTTCCTGCTACCCTTCTCACACCCCCTCCCCCCCAAGTACTTTCACCTTCTTTCTAATACTGATTTAGCAATTTAGAAAATACAAAGGTAAAAGGAACATTTGTTTTTTTCCAAGAACAGTCTCTCTTTTGTATTCTAAAGATATTTTCAAGAAATTAATTGGAATGGCAAAAGGGTGTGGAAAAAATATTTGAAAAAAAAATAGAAAAAGCAAATTCAAAGTGCCTTTTTTTTTTTCTTTTTAAAGAGAAAGGAAAATGTACTTTGAGTGATCTGAACTTTTCCCTGCCTTCTTAGACATGTATTTTTAGCATTTTGAATACATGTAATGTTCTCAGATATTGCTTACTAGAGCACTTTGAAATAACTATAGAGGGTGGATGGGATGACTCAGGGGACTGGTAATTGAATGCGGAGCCTTTTCACCTCCAAGTCCCCAGTTTGAATCGAACCCAAGCTGAGAGCGACCTCGTGGTTACCCTCAGATGGGTGTTTAGTGGCCTGTCTGAAGTGAGTTGGTGGTCTCAGTCCAGCTCTTGGCAAACAGCTACCACATCACAGCAGCCACAGCCGCAGTTGGTGCCAATTACCAGCCAGGCTGGCAGTGCTGGCAGCCAGGGGAAGGATGGAATTAGTGTGTGCTGCTCCTGTGTCAGAGGTGGTCCCTGCTGCTCTTGGAGCCCTGCAGCAGCAGCTGGATTTGGTGCTGTTGGCCTTGTGGGATGTGTGTTCCTGCACTCTGGGGTGATGTTAACTCCCAAGTGCTGAGCTGGGTCCCTGTGTGGGTTTGGTTTTGCTTTGCCTCTGCAGGTTATCAGTCCCTCTGTTCAAGGGCATCTCCATGCATGGGAATTTCCCACACACCTTTGTCAGTCGGATTTGTCTCTTGACATCTCTGCTAAGCATGCCAAAAAAAGAGATTCTTCACATTTTTGTGTCCAGAGAAGGGAATGGAACTGGGGAAAGGGCCTGGAGTACCAGGAGCAGCTGAGAGAGCCGAGGGATCTCAGCCTGGATAAAGGGAGGCTCAGGGGGGACCTTCTGGGTTTCCACAACTCTGACAGGAGAGGGGTAGTCAGGCTCTGCTCCCAGGGAACAAGGGACAGGATGAGAGGAAATGAACCCAAGCTGTGCCAAGGGGCGTTCAGGTTGGACATCAGGAGGACTTTCTTCACCAAGGATGGCCCAGAGAGGTGGTGAAGTTCCCGTCCCTAGAGGTGTCCAAGGAGTGACTGGATATGGCACTGAGTGCTCTGGTCTGGGTGATGAGGTGGGGATCAGTCACAGGCTGGACTCGATGGCCTTGGAGGTATTTCCCAACCTGAATGGCTTTGTGAGTCTGAGTTTTCAGTCCATTTGTTTGATAGCAGTAGTCACACTTCTGGCAACTCTCAGCTCCCGAAATTTCCATACTACCCCGTTATTTTGCAATCCTCTTTCTGAAGTGGTTTTACATTTTATCTCTGAAGAAGTTTTTTTTTCTCCTGAAGCTAAACTAAAATGTAGTCATTTTGAAAGTGTGAGGACAAAATAGATAATTCTTACCCTTTAAAATCCCTTACAGCTGAAAAAAAAAATCTTGCATAAATTTCTTGTATTTTGGGAGTTCCAGAGTATAGCCCTCTCAGATCTTCTGAATGGAGCTTTAATGGACTCCAAACCCCATAGATGATCCCTCTGCTGGCAGTAAGATTTTGGGCTGATAAACAAATCTTATCTGTCTGCAAAATCATGACAATTTTCAGATGTTAAAGAAAAGTTGAAATAAATATGGTTTACAACATTTTATGCTGTAAGGCAGTTCTTTCCAAAAATGGGCGGTTAATTTTTCATACTCTACATTTCATTCAAGGGAGCGACAGTAATACAATTCTAATCAAAATGGAGTGGGTTTTTCCCCAAGTACTAAACTAAGTCCCTTAGAAACCCGTTTTTTATTTTTTGCCCCTAAATCTTAATGTTAACTGTGGTTTCTGTAAAAATAAACATTTCCTCAAGGTATTGGCAGCCCAAATAGAGATGCTGAAACTGAATGTAACAAGAGTGACCTTATGAGGATTTTTTACCTCTAAATTGCGACATATTTGTGAATGGCACAAATAGAAACAATGTAGATTTTTAAGCTTTTGATTAAGCTTAAAAATGTAAGCTGTCATTGGTAAAATGGTAAGGAGGATTTTGTATAAAAGGAGATCTAAGTATTGCCTGTTGAGGAGGACAGGGATGCAACATTTGCAATCTATAGTTTAGGGTAACATCCTGCTGCACACATCCAAGTAACTAGTTAGGTTGATTCCCTCATTTCTGGTCACTCACTGATAGGTGATTTGGCCAGGCTTCGCTGGGAGGGCATGGATTTGGGCTATCTTTGCAGAATATGGTTTCTTTTCATCCAACAGGAAGATAGAAGGAAGCAGGTAGGAGACCAGCTTTCTGGCTGGGAGCAGCACTGCTGGAGATGAAGGGAAGCCTGGCTCAGGGCTTTCTTTTGTCTCTTGGAGAAGCTCAGGAAATTAACTTTTGTAAGGGTCTACAAGGATAATCCCATGCTTGGAGTCTTGAGCAGTCCAGAAAAGAGGCATAAAGGATTGCTTTTTGCAAGTTGAGAGTAGTGGGTAAAGCCAAGAAGATGTTGTAAGTGATTTGCCTCATCTGAGAAACAGATGTGTCCCTCACCTGGGGCTGGTGGTGGCAGAGCATTGCCTCTTCAGAGCTCAGGCAGGAAGGAGGACTGTGCATAACACTGCCCTGAAAACTTGTCTTAGAGCATGTGTTCTGAGTGGAAGCGCTGTAAGTCTGGAGGAGATGAAGTCTTCTAAATAATGATGGTTTTATGGAGGAGGTGACGCTTTCCTCTCACAAAGAAAGGACATGGAAAAAACTGAAATGGAAACAGTTGGCAAGGTCACTTTGGCTTGTCTTGAGAACGTCAGGAAGGAGGCCTCCAAACAAACCAAAACCCTAGGAGTGGGGCTATCACTGTTTCTTCCTGCTCAAATAGAATTCTTGTTCAAGGCATTTCCAAATAAGGGTGAGGAACTGAGCACTGCAACCGCAAGATGACAGTGCAAGGCTGTTAAAACCAACACTCCTTTTTCTTTCTACTTAAAATAATCCACGTCCAGCCATGAATCAAAGTGCCTCTGTAACCTGCCTTGCTCCAGAATAGACTGACAGAAACATATACAAATCCTCCTGGAAAAATAAATTATGAGAAAAGCTTTAGCTGGGAACTCCAGAGTAAGAATGATTAGCAAGTTGCACCATTCACTTAACGTGATTTTAATCGTGGGCTAGTAGTTCATCTCAAGGCTAAAAATGCCACCATAGATCTCTTGGGTGAACACAAGGCATATAGAAATTACATGGCAAAATTAGCATTTGCATAATATAGTAATAGGAGAAGCAAAAAAAAAAAAAGAGAACAAGGGGAAGAATTTCCTGGCTAGTATGAATTCACCTGAAATCAGTGGAGCTTTACTAATCCATGCCTTTGAAACCCTCCCCTTCAGCATTCCAGTGTTACAGCAGCAATGAGCCATGGGCTTGTTGTTGAGATGCCTCACTGAAGTAAAAATCAAACCACTGTGCTACTGAATGAAAGAAGGAAAGAACAATTTTAGCATGTAAGATTAGGGCAGTGCTGTCAGGGTGGGACCAGCCTGGAGTTTGCAATACTTGAGCCCACTTACACTTTGTATAAACTTCTAAATACTTGGGAAACCTTTCCGTGATGTTTTGATTTCAAAAGCTATCTGGCAGCCTAAGTATCCATACCTAACAATTAAACCAATAAATTCAGAGGCCAGTCTTCAAAGTTCAGAGCTTCAAATGCTCTCACTAGTGCATTATTCATGGCTTGGTTTTTTCCTTTGATATCTCTCTATGGTGTGATCTGTATAGCAGAAGAGAACCCACATCTGTCTGTTTACACCACCCTGGAAATTCTTGTGGGCAAACAAAAAAGTCAACCACAAATAACTGCTGGGCTAGCAACAAACATAGTATCTGGAGTGCCTCCACCCACCTGCCATCAGGCAGACTTCTGAATCTCATTTGAAATGGGAAAAGTCAGATCAGGATGAGACGAAGGGCTGGGGGGAAAAACTAGATTGAAAGACTAACCTGAAATTAGCAGAACTGGGAATTTTGCTCTTTTTTTATTTTTTTTATATGGAGTAGGCCATATGTGGGCCCTGAGCTGAGCATCATGGCATGGCACAGTGCATGTCCTTCAGTCAGATCCTTTGACTCATTGTGGGATTGAGGACTGAACCCATTTGAGCTAAAAGGGGACAGGTTCTTCTGAGCTGTGTCTTGAAGAAAGGTGAACAGAAAACATCCTGTAAACCATTTCAAAGTTCATGAAAGATTCTCCAGTAGGATGCTGGGAAAGGCTGTTAATTCCTGTTTTGTTTGAGCCACTGCAGACTCTAATCATTCTCACTTTAGCTGCAGGGTCTCGTTACATTGTTGTGGGTCTTATTGGAGGGATATCAATTTCCATTGGCTTGAAAAGTTTCCCAAAACTTCCAGTGATGATGTCGTTACGAAGGCTTTGGCTCACCCAGATATTTTTATGAACCCGAACTAAAGCATATGGGTAGCATTCTCAAAATCAATGGAAGTAGTTACATGCATAAAAGTACGTATCCATGAAGTTGGATCTCATCCTGTGACCCTTTAATTCTTGAGAAGTATGGAAAAGACTGTGATTTATTAATCTGATCTTACACAATGGTACTTGATTTGCAATGTTCAGAGAGTTTTAATTGTTATTTGTGTCACACTAATATCCAATCACTTGGATGTTTCGCTTTAACTTGATTTATTACTTAAAAAATAAAGCCATGGTGGAGATGAGGATTTCATTGTCTATAAATAGCTTTTCAGTCTGGTGTTAGATCTATTTCGGAGGCTTTAGTTCTTGGTGAGGTAATTTCTCCCCAGTGCAGATCATCTCATGTGCTGGAGTATACCACACTGATGTTGACTCGCCTGCTTAGAAGTTTGTTAACAGCTTTTATTTCCTGAATCTGGGGAACAGTTTTTCCTCTTCCAGTTTTGTTCAGTTTTCTGAGAAAGAGGTACCTTTTTGACTCATCCCAGCTTCCTCCCTTGTTCTGTTTATCCTTACTGTAGAAGATGGCCACAATTCCTCCATTTCGTGCAAATTAGAGGTAGTGCTAGGGTCCCTGGCAAGTTCCCAATACAGGTCTCAGATGACTTAAATGCTTCCCATGGGTACATTGACACATTATTGAGCAATTACATTCTCTTGTGGCAGTCATCTGTGGAATAAGTAAACTGCCTCTGTGAGCCCCATGGTGATATCATGCACCATAAATGCATGCTTGGCCTCCATTGTGTCAACAATCCCTCACGTTCTCAAATGCAGAAATGCGAGTATAATTCTCAAACTACACTGCCTAATAAACAGGTTAGTTTTATTACCTGTTTCTACCTTGAAGGGTAAGATTAAATTTAATTTATAAGGCTACCCTAAAAGGAGAAGGGGTGTGGGTAAGCTTAAAGTGATTATTTGTTTATTCACTCTAAATTTATTAATTTGGGGTTTGGGGGGGGAAAAGGGAGGCCAGCAGAAGAGAGTGGCTTACATTTAAGTCTTTTTTTTTTCTTCTGGTTAGGGGAAGGTTGGTCATGAAGATCGTTTTCTCATCAATAACTTTGGCAAGACTATGGCATACGTTACTGATAATTCCCAGATTTGCTTGCACAGGCAAAAAATATTTATGCAACAAGATGTCAAGTAACACTGTCTTGAAAGTTAGGAGATCTTTGATTACACAGTGTAGTGTAAAGTTAATGGTGTAACGAGTGGTTTTTTTCCCCCTCCCTTCAAAAAACTTGTGTCTGAATGTTTTGTAAAGTCCTTCACCAAGGGCTACTGTGGATGACACTGTCCTCAGACAAATTTTATGGCCACCAGGTGCATTGAGACCTCTGAGAGGGGGAAGTCCAGCACTCCTGCCTGAATCCTCCTGAACGTGGATGTGACAGCACAGGGTGTCCTACACATGAGGCCAGTCGGGTTGTTTCCTCAGCTTTTGTTGTGGCTGGGGACAGAACACAGATCCCAGTGTGCTTTTCAGGGTTGTGCAGTATTATTCAGTCTGGTTGAATGACTACCCTCTGCTTTGTCATCAGAGAATATTTATGACCATCGAAGGAAGGCTGAGTTCCTGGAGACGGGATAACGCGTGGCTTTCTGCTGCCAGACACAGAGTTCCTTTCCGTGGTCACACCAATGTTTTTTCATACTCCCACGGACACCACAACTTTTTTGGATAAGGAAGAAGATGATGGAACACAGATGAGGGAAAGAAATGGCCTCAGAGAACTTGGATACGTGGGGGTATTTTTACCCTTTGGGGTTTTTTCTTCCTGAATTTCAATGAGTGACTTATTGGAAACTTCTTCGGGTTTGAAGTGTTTTTTTTTTCTTGCTCCGCACACACAAAACTGTTTTGGGTTGTTTTGTTTGTCTTTTTTATAATGCAGCTGAGATAGGGTGACTTGATATTTTTAAAATAGAAAACTGATGCGTTCTGAGGGAATAGGCGGAAGAGAGGAGGACTTCAGTAGCTGGAAAAGTCCTATGGGTCATCCCAAGGACAACTTGTGACTGGGAAGGTTGTGCTGGATATGGCAGGGAGGATTTGCTGAGAGCTGCTATGGAGGCAGGAGTAGTGCTGCTTGTCCTTGGGTGCCAAATCCACTGCTGGTTCTCTAAATGCCAGATCTCAAGGATCCGTGCACCACAGCCACATATCTCTTTTGATTTATTAACTGTTTTTTCCCCTCTTTCTTTTAAAGCAAATTCTACATTAAGCTTTTCCAACCCGCAGCATTAGAAACTATCAGGCACTGAATGCCAAGCAGGTGCCTTCCATTTCCCTCACTGACATCCTGCTGTCCTCTATCACTCAGTAAAAATAAACCTAAGACAAAAAAAATATCTTGTCTTATTGGTGAGGTAACTGAATGAGATTACAGATCCAGTTTTTTAATTGCTAAGATGCAGAGCCCTCACAGAAAATGCTCAGCATCCTGTCCCTTCTCATTTTGATGATTGCCAAAGCCTACAAGGCACTGGGAGTTTAGGAGCATCTTCTGGAGCCTGTTCTGTGCTGGAGGCTGCCCAGCACACCCTGAAGTGACAGCAGGTTTTCAGAGAAAGAAATTGTCAGCGAGCTGTCCAATGTGTTGTTGAGCAGGAGCATATGTCACTGACAGAGTGTCTCCCAGGGATCACCAATAAATGAACACCTTGAGTCTCCACAAAAGGCCTCTCCACCTGGTGCCTGTTGGGAAGAGCACAGCTCTGTTTTCCTTGTTGTGCAATTAAATTAATGAATAGTATAAGCTATTCTACTTTTTCAAAGCCATCACCCTGGGGATAACATAATAGTTTGAAAGGAATATTTCCTTGCCATTTCTATATCCATGTTTAAAGTATTATGCTAATATTGGCAGGTGATCACTGTAGGGTAAGTCTCTGTGATGGTAATCCTCTTTCCCTTCTCTGCTGTCATTGCCATTTCAAAGCTTCCAGACTTTGCTGTGGGAATTATTCCAATTGGAGACAGGGACTAGAAATTAATGAAATAAATGCTATTGTTCTGAGACTTCTGAAAAACATGTTTGCACTGGTGCTGATGGTTTCAAACACACGTCTGGATATGCTTTGCTGACTCCTGCAGGTGGACGGAGAGAGAGGGAGAAGGTGGCTTTGGTTTTATATATCTATTATCACCTAATTTTGATTTTGTTGTTCTGAAATACTTGGGGGTTCATATATTTTGAGAAGCTCAGCAAAGGTACGCTTTGTGCAGATGCACTTCAAACATCAGCAGATGAGCGCCAGGAAATAATGTTGGACAGGGGCACTGTTACAGTCATCCTTTCTACCACTTCCTCTCAAACTGATATAAACAGATGCATGCTTTTATGTCCTTTCCCTTGGGAAAGGGAGAACTCTGAGCACAAATGATCAATATGTGGCTTTTCCGTGGTTACTTGGGAAACTTCATCCCTGATGAAGTTTTCTCGCATCCTATGACAGAATCCAGCTTTTTTTTTCATCTACTGTAAGTTATAGAATCTAGACAATAGGAACAAATCTGGATGAGCTGGTTTATGCAATAATAAAAACAGGTATGTGTTTGTGAAAACTAAGGAGTTTTGAAAAGGGAAATTGTCACTGCTTTTAAAACAGTGATTATTTTTAGATTTTCTATGTACTGTAGACTTCTATATTAATTTATTGATCCTTCCAAACATTTTTCATGTCTTATTTTTTCCTTCAGCATTTTTAGCAGATTTATGAAAGCTGGATTTGATGATTTCTCTTCACCTCAGAAGGCCTTAAGTGAGGCAGTCCTGCGTGAGCATGAGGTGCAGTGGCTGTTCTGTGGTGATCAGTGCCAAGACACACTGGTGTGCAATTCCTAGATTGTATTTCTGGTTGTACTGCAGCTCTGGACAAATCACACCTGGGAGGTTTTGGAGGGCACATGTCTAGTGTTTATTTCCCACTGACATGAGTGGTTAACAGCCAGTTGTATTTTTCTGAATCCCTCCCATACAGTCTTTCAGTTTCCATCTTCTCAGTTATCCCAAATAAAAGATTAAGGCTTTGGGGTTATCTTCTCTGCAAAAATATACTTACAGAGGTCCCTCCAAGAGCAGCAGCAACTCGTTCCTACAGCCAGAGCTGCTGGGCACCAGGTAAGCATCCTCCCAAACTGGATATGAAAGGGGTTCCTGGCACAGCTACCTTTTAGGCACTAATGGCTGGGTGAGGCTTGGCACACCACACTGCCAGATTTGCAGCTTCGGCAAATAAATTGTGGGGCAGGTTGTTCAGAGGGCTGGAGGAGGTGGGAGGTCTGTGGGGTTGTGTTTGTAGGATGGGATGTCAGTTCTGTGTGTCTGGGAGCTGTGCTGGGAGATGCTCCTGGACTTTCCCCCAGCTTTGAGTGGGGTCAGGACTTGTGAGACCAAACGTGGGGGTTGTTGGAGGTGAGAGCTGCTGTTTTCTAATGGTACTGAGAGTGATTTTAACAACGCCAGGTGAGGACAAACACTATGATAGGTACAAAATAATCGCCCTAGCCAAAAGGCACAATAGCTCTGTGGTGCACACAATGGAGAGGAATTGAGAGTTCTTGGATCAGTTTTTGACTTTGCCACAGACCTCCAGTGTTACTTTCAGGCAGTCACTAAATCCCTGCGTCCACCATCTGCGAAGCAGCCAGGCTTGGAACAGTTTGTGTCTCTGGAAGCATGTATCTAATTCAGCTGTTATTATCAAAGCTAAATATTAAAGAACTGTTGTGTTATCATGGGCTAAAACCATGACACACCATTTTCACTGTGAACTTTGTTCTTTTGCTATTACGTTTTGTTTACATTACTTTTTTCAGGAAAAACAATGTTTTCACTGCATATAAGTTAGGCAGAAATTCATGATGCATGCTGTGCAAGCTAGACTTGTAGATTTGATGTCTGACACTTAAAATAAAGATGCATGTTAAATGCCACTAGGAAGACTTCAGGGCTGGTTGTTCAATAAAATGAAGCACGAGTCTGGGCATTGAAAGTAAACAAATAATATAAGACTATGTAGAGATCAACCTTCCAAAGCTGTTTGGAAAGTTCCATAACTTGGGTCTAACTGTGGGCACTTCTCATCCCCTTGGTGACAGGCATGCTGCTCTGAATTTGTTGTTCAAACTTCCATTAATATTCTGTGTCAGACAAGGAAATAACTTAGGATCAATTGTCAAACATGTTTCTTCAGAAAGGAACTAAAGAGCAATCCTGAAAAATATCTCCTGGGATGGAAAAATTCTGATCTTTGAGAAAACAGAGGAACTGCTGTGTGAGAGGAAAAATGTCAATTTATTTGGAGGACAGGTGAGTTTGTTTACTAAACTATGCAATCTTCAAGTCTGTCTTTGAAAATGCACGGTCAGTTTAAGAGGAGGTGCTTTCAGCTTTAGAAAGCACTGGTAAACGTCAAAATTATTTACATTTTTCACATAATGGACCATGGAAGCTTCCTGTGACAATTGTCAATTTGTCCATGTTGGGGAGAGGATGAATGGGGAACTTTTGAGAAGTTCAGTTTGGCCTTAATTGTGTTTTTCAGTATTCATTGATACTGTGCAAGGTGGTAATTACCAAGTTGAAATCTGGAGTAGTGCAACTCCCCAGCAGACATCTGCAGCACTGTCCCATACCCCCAGATGGGATTTGGGTGTTCAAAACCAGCAGTGCCCCCAGCCCCACCAGGCAGAGTCTTTGTTCTAGCTGGTGAGAAGTTTTACAGCATAAAGGGCAGCTTCTGAGGGATGGAACCCTGAAAGCCACATCTTTTCTCTCCCTTCCAGCTCTAAGCAGAGTGTAATAATAATTCACAGGTTTTTACAGAATTTCAAATATTTCACCTGTGTTGTTTCTACATTGCCACATGCACTGATGTGTCATCCCTGAAACATTTCTGCTGCCCTGTTAAGTATCCTGTTTCAACTATCTCAAATCACGTTAGTTTTTTTTGTTTTTTGTTTTTTGTTTTTTTTTTTTTACCACTGAGTATTTAAAATGATCCACAGACTATGTCAGATTGGTTGAGAACAACTCCAAAACAATGTTTTGAGCAATTTTTGCTCCAAGATCTATAGGACAGGCCACTTTCCATAAGCTCCCAAAAGCATGCCTGGAGCCTCCAAATCAGAGAAGTATTCAGTTGGAAAACCTTTCCCCTTTAGTGGAGAAAAAAAATCACCCATATTCTTTGGATGGCTCTTTGTAAATGCAGCGACTGTCACAAACCTCAAAACCAGAGACCTCCTCCACCTTCTGAAACAGCTGCATCTCTGCTTGTGCTCTTTCATGGTTTGGTACAGCTGTCACAAAGCAGAGCCTTGCTCTGAGGCACCTCCGTGTCCCTCCCCTCTTCTGGGACAGATGAGGCTGGTGATGTCTCACCTACCCTGAATTAGTTGTGTTCTTTACTGCAGTAGCATCTTCAACAATATCTGCTGTGTTCCTGCTGCTGGCAGACATTGTATTTTGTGTTATTTGGGTTAAATCAGCATATCTGGCTATGGTTTGTATCATTCTGTGTAAACTTGAGTCTTTGAAATCTAAAATGCTTGGGATGTTTTTGTTGTTGTGGGTTTTTTTTTTTTTTCCGTGAAATTGTCACAAAGAAAATACTGTTAAAAAGGAGGCATAATTTAAATTTAAGGCTTCAGCTGAGGTGTGTTGCACTGCAGGTTTTCATGTTGAGTTGCACAGCTGTAGACTTGCAGCCACACAGAGCCCTGCAACAAGTTAGACAAGGGGCACTGAGGCCTCTCCTGCAGGAATCCCATTCTAGGAGGAGCTTGACTTGTGCAGGAACCTCCCAGAGGAGTAGCAAAGTCACTGCTTGCTTGTAAGGGCCTGCTAACTTTATATGGTAGTAGTGTAATAGGCTTTGGAAATACAGATTATAATGGGTCACGTGCCAGTAGATCCTTTCTCCCTGTTTTCCCTTATCCATGTGCTGGACCTTAAATACCACATGACACTTAATCCACACTATCAGGCAGAAGGCTTCATTTTAATTTACTCATTTGAAGATCAAACTATTTTTGTGCCTGATAGCATCTTTGACAGTGAAAGGTCACAGAATAATTTAATTTAAAAGCTAAAGCAAAGCACTAATAATACATGATATCTCACCAAACCCACAGTCACCTCCCCTGCAGCTGCTGGATTTGCAAAAAAAAAAAAAAAAAAAAAAAAAAAAAAAAAAAAAAAGCCATCAAATAATGGATTAAGGATTTCCAGCCTGAAAGCTTTAAGTAATACACCAATATATGATTTTTAATAGCAATATCATAATTTAGAAACCTAGCCAGCAAGCACTGGAATAATCTGTTTTTGTTGTTATCGTTGCAGGCTGGCAGTACTTCTCTCCAGATGTACCATTTGGCACATTAAGCAATTCTTTTCTTAGAAGGGGAACCTATGTTTTTGCCATGTAATGCAAAACACCAATGGAATCACTACATAAGCAAAATGCCAGTAATGGTACAGTGGTCCAGCCACAAACATTGGTATGTTAATTTTGTTTTATTTTTCCTAGTGTGTCATCTGTAGTACTGTATTTTGTATCAGGACTATGGCTGGACTGTTTAGTATCAGATTTTAAAGTGTGTTTTCAGCAAGAGATTTAAGCTAGGAAACTAATGGTTGGGGCTTTTTTTCTACTTAATATGGATGTAACTATAATTTTTGCTTGATCTTTGAGACCAGGCCAAACTTTCCCCTCAATTATAGCTGTTCTATCCTTCAGCTGTATGCATCCACTTCTAATAATGGTACCTAAATACACTGGAAAGCAAGTAGTCTATACTAAGGCTGTGGCTTATATATGCCTAAGACTAGCTAGGCCTTAAAAAAATGTTTCAATTCATTTGTAAGAAGATTAGTTAAATTACAGCATGTGCAGTTTCTTTGTGGGAAGCAGTGCCTGGCCTTTCCATCTTCTCATGGATCATCCCCAGTCCTTGGGAAGGCAGCAGCAGTCCCCTCTCAGCTGGGGCTCTTCTTGAGGCTGAGCAGCCCCAGCTCCCTCAGCCTTTCCTCATCAGGGGCATGTTCCAGTCCCCCCATCATGTCACCCTCCCCTGGACCTGCTCCAGGAGATCCAGGAGGAGCCCTGAACTGTCCTGGCTGAGGTGATAAATTCCCCAGCTGCTCCTGGTAAGCACCTGAGAACTGGTGGTGGGGAAGCTTTCTCCAGATGATCATTTAGAGACTTAGGGATGGTAAGAAAGGATTTTTCACCGTGCACAAATGACAACAACATTGTTGTAATTTCCTTTTCTTGCAGGTAAAGGACAGAAAAGGGGCAAGGACATTCTTCACATCCCTCTGCCACTGTCCACTGACTCTTTATGTGTATCTCAGTTTCTTCCACCAACCTGCAGCTTCCTACGGGATGAGCAGCTGCCTTCCTCCTAGTCTTGTGGCCAAGGGAGGAAGAGGAGACTGGCCAGGGAAATCACACATTTCCTTGGCAGGGCTGGTCTTTCACTGGGGAAAGGTTGTCAGCCTGGGGAGAGAGCTGTGACATCCTGCCCTGCCTGACCCCAACTTGGGTTCTCTTCAATGCTTCTGTTTCTTACAACAAATGTCCTGTAATTCAAGCTTTGTGTAAGTGGGGTCATGCTACTCTGCTCAGTAGAGTTTCTTTCTCCTTAATATGACAGGTGTTTAGTTTTTTTCCTACCATTCACCAGAAATCTCACCTTTATTCTTCCCATGTTAAATAAGTCAGTTCTGTCCCCCTGCCTAAGAGCAATGGAAAAGCAACAGTGAAAAAAAAAAAAAAAAGAGTGATTTCTCTCCAAGATTCTAATTAAATGGGTTTGTGTTGCCTTTCCAGTTTGATTAACTCTGTAATTAATAATGACCAGGTGAGACAGGGAAGTTAATTTTCATTGGGCTTTTTCTGTTCCATGAATGCTGGGGAGGAATTCAAGGAAGGCACACAGTTGTGAGAACACCTTCCCTCTCCTGTTGGTACAATTCCTAAAATCTGGCCATGTGTTAAACTCCTGTGAAGAGCAAAATTTCATTATTTCTCCTCTAGAGTATTTCTGCAAAGAAGCTAATCCTTGGTCCTGCTCAGCCACCCGGGGGAAAATGATAGTGTAAATGCTGTGCCCTGTTTTGGGTTTTGTATTTTTTTTTTTTCTTTTTTGTTACTCTTTGAAGCAAACAACGCAGGGCAAAACATGGTTTTGAAGGTGGAAAGAGGCACTGCAGCAGTTCTGTGAGCTCAGCCATGTGGGTCCAGCATTGAGGGGGAAAGGGATGCACATTCAAGGTAAACTACTTTTTAAAAAGGTACTAGCTAAATGTTTCAATGTGTATTTAGTCTTTTCCCACTCCTATTTGTGTTACAGGAAGTGATCCTCTGCTACCTGTGGGGTACCTGGGGTAGGGGGTTTGAGGTAGACTATGAGATTACCCATGGGGCTGTTTCTTCTTTAAGGCAAATATGTTAAAGTTTGAATTGGTGTGTGAATGTAACTTGCAGCACTGGCACTCACCAGTATGTTACAATTAGGAGTCCACAAAAAATGTGGATTAGGCAATCATCCTGTGTAAGACTTCTCCCCGTGGCACACCAGCTACTCTTCATGTTTGCTGTATTTTCATAATAACTGAACTTAACATATTCTCCATTCCAAGGTTCATTCAGTTTCTTAGTACTTTTCAGTCAGCGGTGGCTTTTCACACCTGGCTGTCATCCAAATTGCCTGTTGAAGGCATTTTTGAGGAAACTTCACGTTTGAGTGTTAATAAAGTGCTGCCTGCTAAAATAAAGTCAGATTGGTTTAATGTTAATGTAAAAGAGTAGGTAAATAGTAAATACAGAAATATCAAAACAAATATAGATAATTTTGAAATATCACCCCGTGCTTAAGGTAGGTTGGTGACATTTCATGACCTATTTTATTATTTTTAACTTAAGAATTATGCACTGCCATATGCATCTATCGAGCTGCCCTTCTACTGCTGCTGTTCATCTATTAGAGGATTCTTCTATAGTTATCCAAAATCACATTATGTTCTTTTCTTTCAAAATCTTCCTTGAACGTGCACCTCAAGACTGCCTACAAATACAGTGTTGTCTACAGCTTGTTGCAGGTACTTTTACTTCTGTCTTTTGACTGTCTGTCTGAATATGTATCTTCTCTCTTGACCTCTTTATCTGGGAGTCCCCTGAGGCAAGAGCCTCATACAGCATCTGGATCCTTGCCCACAAATAATGCTCCCTCTCTGTACATCCAGCACCACATGGTTTTTCCTAAGAAGAGCGACTCCTTTTCTTAAGAGAGGAGTTAGGCTGGTCTTTTAGGAGATTAGTCTTTTAGCTTAGTTTTTGTCTTGGTATGTTATTAGAGCTTTGGCAGCAAACCAGTGCTCCCTTTACATGAGTTTTCACCTAGAAAAGGGTGTCCAGCTCATTGGTAGGACACACCTGCAGCCTCTCCCCTTTGCCTCACACCTGTGCACATGTCTTTGTCCAAAATTCTCCACGCTGTTGCACCATGTGCAAAATGTGGTTGTTGTGGCCTTGTTCTCCTGAGCTGTGGCATTATTCTGTTAATTAATCTGTTGTGGAGATTGAGAGGAGAATTATTCTGGTGCTGATTCCTGACCCACCGAGATCCAGAGGATACATTTTCATTTGATTCACATGATCCACTGATAAGTATTAGAGTGGTATGTTGTTCCTTTTCAGGAAACAAGAGGAAGACTGGGAGAAGTGGTTGGACTCAAGAATCATAAGGGTTTTTTTCCAAACTAAATGGTTCTCTTTAGTGAAACCTCAAAAGGCTTTTCATATATTAGCAAAGAAACTGGGTTCCAATACCAAGACAACCTTTGCCACTTCTTTCAAGATGTCTTGAAGCACATATAAAATTCAACTTAATCAGTTTTAATATGCTTTTTTACTACTAGGCTCCACTTTAAGTCAAAAGCAGCTCCTGGGTGAAGTTGGATTTGGTGTAAAGAATAACATTATGTAATCACATAGGAAAGTGCTGATTAACCACCAAAATATATTTAAAATACTTTTCTGAGTAGATTTGTTGCTAATTATACTATATCAATTTAAGAGTGGAAGGTGTTTCTCCATCATCATGTCTTGCATGTCTAATATTTTGCACTGAGCTTTGGAGTGCAGCTGAAGTGCAGCTCTCCTTGTAAATCTGTTTTTGATCTAATCCCATTTTCTAGTTAAACATTTCAAATGAAATATACTGACCAAGAAAAAGAGGGCTACTTTGTTTGGGGTATTCTATAGGCAGAAGATTGCCTGAGGACTTCCTTGTTGGCTGTACCTTATCTTGCTGTGTATCCAGTAAGAGATCAAGTTGAAGTGTAGGTACCTCAAGCTCTGTTTAGTTTTCCTTTTCTTTTTCTTTTTTTCGTCTCCAAGTACATGGATTAGAGCTATAAAGATGTTGATCTAAGTCACAAGAGTTTTGGAGACCGGAAATGCTTGATTTCAGTAGTTGAATTTAAAGTTATCTGAAGGTAAATATTTCTTATCTAGATGGTGTGTAAATTGTGTATTCATCTGATTTCCTTTCCTTACTGGTTATCATTTTCCTTTGGTGAGTGGTTCATTTGGCTTCCTAAGCAGAACTAGACAAACTCCTAAATCACTCCAAGCTTTCAGTGAACTGTGTCACCTTTCTTTTTTATTTTCTTTAATCATTCTTTTCATGCTTCCGGAATGAGCTGAAGTATTGTGAAAGATTTCCTATCATCTTCTTTGTGCCTGTCTCAAACTTCATACCTCAATACTGGATGTGTTTGATATTCAGCTACCATCTCTCTAATACTGCATGCATGGGAGGCTGGGATTTCCAACGTGACTGCAAACATTACCTTTCCAATGATAGTTGTGTTGGATTAAAAGCTGCAAACACTGGAATTGTCAATACTGGAGTTATGTGCCCTTACCAGTCTGGGGACCTGTAACCTGCTGCTGGAAATTCTTATTCAGGTTTCCCAAAGATAATACCTTGCTGGAATTCTCTGATAAATGGCTATTGTGTGTTGCTAAATAGTTTGTGCAGAGCCCAAAGCTGACTAAATTCCAAAGGTAGTCACAGTTTTCAAAAAGGATGTGTGTGATGGATACTGTAATTGTATGAGCTTTTTTGCAAGTACCATACGTGGATATTTGTTCTAATACCACGTAATTATAGTAATAAATGCCATTAATAGATTAGTTAATTCAGTGCTTTCTACTCTGAGAAAGTCATTATGAAAAAATTTCACCTTTCCTCTATACCATTATCGCTCCATAACAAACCATTATCAGCAAATACCTGATAATATATCCCTACATGCTTGCTGCTGTGAAAGAAATTAATATTTATACTTTTACTGTTGCAAGCATGGCCAGAGTTTGTGGATGTCTCAGTTTTCGGATATGTCTTAGCATTTTTAACTATTTTGCTACTGTGGATGCAAATGCTGTCTTTAACTTCACATTGTTCTGCCTTGTAGGAAAGAGGGGGTTGTCCACATTGAGTTGAAAGCAGGGCTTGACTCCTGGAATTTCTGTTCCCAGTGGTGCCATGCAGGCAAAATGAAAACTAGCTTGACTCCTGTCAGTGTCCAGGTGAACTTTTCTCAGCTTTTCTCAGGCAAAACAGAAGTACTGTGTTGCACAACAGATTGGTATGAGGAAGGATTGGTGCACTAATGTCTCTAGGTTGACTGTATACTTTATGGTCATACAATTAAAAATGTTTTTAAAATATAGAGTATTCTCCCAGAAGCACTAACTGGACCTTCTCACAATCCCTACCTGGTCTCTGCATGTGCAAACCTGGTGGTTCTGCATTTATCCCTACAAGTCCCACGTGGAGACATTTGTTTTCATCACAACTCTTGATGGCCTTACAGAGCTATTAAATTAAGAGTCTGACATGCCCTCCTTTGAATACCCAAGCAAGAGATGGAGAAAGGAGGTGGAAGTTTGGTACCATCCACATACATCTCAGATCATTTAAAAGCAAATTTGGAAGGATTATAGCAGCAAAGAATGTAGGTGCAGTCTCGAAGTCATGTGCAAATACCACTGCTTTATACATGTCTCTTAAAACTCTGACCATGCTCATGTAGTCATTTACTGGCTGAGAAGCTTTGAAAAACCTCAATTGCCATGTCAGCTACATGAGAAGTGGAGTCTGTCCTCTGTTTCTGTGGCCATTTGTACTATTTTTTCTGCATATTAGGGATGGTCTCCACTGCTGCATGACCTTCCTGAGCAGGAATATTGATACACTTCCAGTTAGGCTGAGGTAGTGATTCACTTTTTGGTGGCGTTTATGCAGTCTCCTCTGCCAAAGTTGTGCAGCTGCTTTGTATTTCGTCTTGGGAGTAGCATTTCCTTGAAACCAGTCTTCAGGAATCCAGTGTATAACTTGGAGAGGGGGAGGGTATCCTCAATTTCATTAAAATTATATCCAGGACTTGTGTGGAGGAGAAGTCTTGGAGAAAGGGAAGAAACCAGCATGCTATTAATGAAAACATTAGATTCCTTGCAGAACACCACTTTCCTTGCAAGGCAAACCCCAAAAAGCGGAAGAAGTCCTTCTTGAGTTTCTGATTTCTGTGGCCCTTTGAGTTGATTTGCAGCAGTGAGAAAAGGTGCCAATATCTTTGTATTGTTTGGCAGAGAAAAGATTACCTTGTAACTCATCTTGTCTGGCTACGGCCTGGCACTGGATCATGACCAGGTTGATGGCAGCCTGACAGTTTTAAAAGAATATGTTGGCATTTTATGAAAAGGGAAGTTATTACACTTGAAAGGAAGTAAAAACAAAACCAGAAAACCTATGCTTGTCAGTTTTATGGCAGTGAGGCTGTAAAAATTCTGGCATGTTACTTCAGCCAATCCCTGCAACAAATTACTGAACTAAATTGATTGCAAAATCAAAGATGGATTTACATAAGCATTTGTGTTTTAGTTACCCTGCTCTTACAATGTATCAGACACTCAAAAGAGTCAACCCCATGCCCCTTACAGTTAAAATTAGTTTACAGCCTAAATTTAGATGTGTAGCAGCAAGAAGAGAGCATGGAAAGAAAAGAAGAGCATGGGAAGGGATGAGACCTCCTGGGTCACTGGCTCCAATCCCTCCCAGTCTCAGGAAACCACATTGTCTTACCCTCTTTCAGACTGTGTTATGGTCTTCTGACATACTGCTAGATAATACAAAAGATGGGGAGTTAAATTTACAGATTTGTCCCAGTTCAGTATAGTTGTTGTCTGACTCTATTAACTGCAGGATTGGACCCACGCTGAGGCTTATCACAAATTTCTGCTGGTGGGCTCTGTCTTAGAGCAGGAGATGTGCCAGGAAGCTGGGGACTGTGGAGACAAAGGCAGCAGCATTAGTGAGCAAAGCATGAAGAGCAAGGAGGATTCAGGGTAGCCCTTCCAGCAACCAGGAAGAGCATAAACTTGGAAAATAAGTGAGGCCACAAAGGAGGCTTGCTTGGTGAGTGCCATGGCCTCTAAAGCACTTTTGAATTATTTTGCTTTGTCAGTCAGAACTGTAAACTGCAACTGTATGACTATCTCCAGAGAGGGCTGCATGGAGATGCTAGCCTTATAGCATGTTTTTAGTCAGACCACGTAGCCAAAGAAAACGATAAAACCAGACGTCTTCTTGCGGTCAGAAAGAAACAAACAATTTGTTTTATTGAAGGCTCATTGCTGTAGAGAGGCCTGGATTTCTGAGCCACTGCACAGGAATTACAGAGATATGGGCTGGTGGTTGACAACACACTTCTGTCATGGCTGAACATACAGCACAACAAGGGGCTGGAGAGCTGAGAGCAAGGAATGGAGCTGAGAGACACAGAGAGAGCTGCCACTGAGCTGGAGAGCTGAGCAAGGCATGGAGATGAGAGACACAGAGTTGTCACTTCTGGCAAGGGAGGCCTTGGCCAAAGTGATCTGCTTTTCTCAATGCAAAACGAGATTTTTGTGTAGTGAATGCGATTTCCTGAGTAGATGCAAATAATCTGGGAGTAATTTTCTACCGGAGTTCTGGCTCCTGTGTTGGGAAGGAGCATCCTCATGGTGGAAGCTTTGGGTCAGTAACATGTGCTATTACACCTGCCTGTGGCCAGAGAATCTATCACTTATGGCTCCATCCCTACAGTGCCTGTATCTTCTGGGCAATGCAGCCTTGTTGGTTTTTTTTATTCTTCAGGTCAATGCAATTCTTGTCCCATCACAGTTATTCAACCCAAGTAGATCCAATGTCTCCTGTTCAGATAAAACTGAACAAATTTGAATACATTTTCTTCAGATGCTGAAAACAAAGTCAGTTGGGTTTGAGATTGAACTCAATGTAGGAAGCATAGTTTTGGTATGTTCAGATTCCTTAAAGGATTTTAGACCTTAAGGCTCCTCCTAGTATGTAGCTCCCAAACAGGTTTTTCCGTGAGATAAGAATAAAACCTCTTTTTCTGAGGTGTCAAAGTTTTCAGTCTTGTGCAAGTATAGTGGGAAAACCTAAATATTACTTAATAATTATTACTGATACTTACATTACTTAATTGTAACCTATATTACTTATTTATTGGTTTTACTGAAAAGTGTTTTGTCTAGATGATGTGTTTGAGAAAGTTGTGCTCAGATTTCGAGTCCAAATTTCAGGGGTATTGTTAAGGTAAATATTTGAGAAAAAAAAAAATAGCATGGTAATATAGAGTCACAACTGACATATGGTGAGCACCCCAATGTCAGTTGTCAAAATCTGTAATTGCTTCATGAAAGCAAAGGTGGGTGGAAGAATCAGAGCTGCCATTTAAAAATTAGATTTGCATAAAGCTGTGTTGAAACTGCATCTTGGGAATTTGTGCAAAAGGAATTTCTGCAGAGCTTGTTGTTAAGGAAATCTTGTAAGAAAATGTGATAATTTTTGCTTTGAAGCCCTTGAGAAGAACTAAACTACTAACAAATGAAGTTTAGAGACTGAGTTTACTTTCAGAGCTCTACTATCCACCGGCTGTCTGTCTGTAAGTCAGGCAGCTGTCTGTCTATCCCTGTAAATTGATGTGATGAAATATGGCCAAGAGCAGCAAGAGCTGTGGATGAGGATGGGAATTGCCTGGCAGGGCTGCCTTGCTGCTCCAGAATACCATCAAGCTGTTCAAATAAAGATGAGCTGGGACAATGTCACAGCTGGCCAAGATGAGCATGGGAAAGAAAAATATGGTGACAGGAGTTACAGAAGTGACTCGGTGTGCTGGCATTCCTTTCTTTTCAGGGTAAAGACATGTGACAGGGCTTGTCACTGACAGAAAGAGCCTCTTCACATTCTATTGTGGTGAAACTTTCGTTCTCCAAATAATACCACAAGTTGCATGTTTCAAGATGTAATTTGTGTACACGTATTCTTACACCATGGGAATTCAGCATTGTCTCCTCACCCCACATCCTCAAAAACTCAGAAATCTGCTGGTTTATTTGGGAAAAAGGTTGGGGTTTTGCTTATTTTTTAATTTTTAATGCATGTGTCTGGTAAATTGCATTTCCTTCTAATGTTAAATTCTATGCAGGCTGAGATCCTTCTATTGTGCTTGATTACCTGAAACTCATGGATAAATCTTTAAAGGAAGAAGGGTTTCTAATTTCCATGGAGTGATTGAACTAGGGGATTAGGAATCTCATTTTGCACCTCTAAGCGTCTAAGCTCAAACTTTTAAGTTAGTGTAAGCGAAGCTCATTCCTGAGAAAAATTGAAACTGAGGAAGAAAATAATAGTATTTCTAAGTAAAAAAATGCAATATACAGTGGGGGAGTTTATCCATCTGTATTTACCATGAAACCCTGTGTTGATTAGGGGCTTTGTGAAAAGTTGATTTTCCAGTTCAGCAAAACTTATAGAAAAAAACATTTGCTTCAGGTCAGCTGCAGCTAGTTGCTCTCCCTCTCACTCATTAAAATGAAAAGCAAGTGTTCTCACTTCATTCAACCTTTTTGATGTGAAGCAGAGCTTTAGAGCAGACCTTCTCCCAGAGCTTGGTCCTGGTCACTGGACTCAGGAGGATTCTTAATTTCTGTGGTTACAATGGCACTTGAGGTCACACATAACTAGGCCCTAAAACAAGGAACACAATCCAGGGTCCCAGCCCCTGATGGATGTCTAACCAATGGAATCTCATGGCTTGTGGAATAAGTTTTCATCAGTCCCCTAAGAGGAGGAACTTCCCTTTGTCTGAGGTGGGCCACAGATG